CTTTATAAGAAGTGTAAACTTTTTTTAAAATTTCATTTGGAATTTAGATGAAAAGAGTGAAGTTCTAATCTTAAGTTGTACACAACAGAAGTAATATAGAATTATAAGTCAGAGGATCTGAGTCTGGTCCTGGTGCTGCAGCTAGAAGCAGTGTTAACTTAGGCAATTCAGTTAGTCCTTCCAATGCTCATGTTTTTATCTGTGAAATGATGGTTCCGAATTCATTCTATAATGGATGCCCACCTAACCATTAACTATTTGGTTGACTACTCAGCAGAGTATTTCTGGGTGCTGGGAAATCACAGAAATGATGAAGGCATGAACCACACCAACAAGGAACAAGGATACAAGGATTCCTTGTATCCACCGGCGGCTGATTGATATTAAGCTCTGCTGAGACAGGTGTCAATGCTGTCAGACCAACCTGGCGGCTATTTTTTTTAACCACGAAAGCCATATTTTAAGAGAAAATGGTAGCCTGTTTTCCCCAACCAAAAATAGAAATAGGGCTATAATGTTAGGTCTATTATGATGTTCAAGTCCTATGCAAAGATGCTGGGTCAGATTAAGGGAAAGGAGATCTCAGAATGAATTCCAACCATCTGCTTCATTCCCTGAAAGGCTCTCTTTGCTAAATATTTGGGGCGGCATTACCCCAAATGTACTTCATAGTGCACTCGCTCCTCAGAACATTAGTGGTCTGTAAAAGAAGTTTCCAGTATTACAGAATTTGGAAGAATCCTGGGCAGGAAAGTTTAACAGATTTCCTTAAAGCAGGTTTTCTTGGTGCCTCTATGTCTAAAGTGGTTCTAACAGAGCAAGAAAGCATGTTTTGAAGCACTAACAAAACTTGTTAACAAAACTTGTCTGACCGTAGAACTTGTTTGTTGTTTTACAGAACATTCCACGGAATCAATCCTCTATGAAATGCCATTAGGACACTTCTGGAAATGATTATTTTTTAAAAATATATGTCTTTTGCACAAAAACCTGTACATGAATATTTATAGCACCTTCTTCATAAAAGTCCAAAAGTAGAAACAATCCAAATATTTATCTACCGATGAATGAATATTAAAGTTATGGTAAAACAATATAGTGAAATATTCTTCAGCCATAAAAAGAAATGAAGTACTGGTATAATGTGAACGAACCTCAAAAACAAGTGGAAAGATGCCAGATAAAAAAGACCACATATGATATGATTCTCTTGATATGAAATGTCCAGAGCAGGCTACGTAAAGTAGTGGACTGCTTGCTAGGGGCTGGGGTGGGACGAATATGAAATGACAGCTGATGGATATGGGTTTTCTTTGGGTGAGGGGTGATGAAATTGTTCCAAAATTATACTGTGATGATGATAATACAGTTCCAAATATACTCAAAATCATTGGTATGTATACTTTAAATAGGAAATTGTGATGTGAATTCTGTCTCAATAAAGCTGTTAACATGCCTTTGTGAAAAAAAAAGGACTAACTGAAAGGGTTCAGGCCTATGTTTTTGTGGGTTATCCACTTACAGTTAAGATTTGTCTTCCTAGTGGTTTGCATGCTATAGTGGAAGGAGCTGACCTACCTGGTTTACAACCCAGTTGTACCATTTAACAATTAAGTGGCCACAAAAAATTTCTAACCTCATCCAAGACTAGGAATAACAACAGGTCCATTGTGAGGATTAATGAAATCATGTATAGAAGTCCTTTTGAAACGTGTAAACACTTAATAAATGTGAATTAGTATTTTACTGCAAATAATTCATAGGGTGCCTTGGTGCACTGTAAAATCATTCACCAAGGCTCAGTCTCTCTGAGATAACAGAATTCCTTCATCACTGGGCTGTTACGAGAATTAAATGGGTTAGTAACACATGTAACACTATGCCTAACACCTAACATTCAGTATTTATCACTTAATTTCTTATTTTTCTTGCCAAGATTACTACCAGCATAGTTTCCACACACTGTGGTTTTTTTTTTATTTCATTCTTCTCATGTCTCCATCTTTTTGACCATATGCTATATAATTCCTCCCTTTCTTTTTAGTATCTCTTAGTTATTTATAAATCATCATATCCTTGTTTTCCTGTCTTTCTTCTAGGCTGTATATGTCAAATTATTTTCTTTGCTTTTTAAACACATGCCCATTAACCCATATTGTAGGTTTCTGGCTGGTCTCCAATGTGTCAGCATCCTCTTTGTTCATTGGTTCAAGTCTCTAGATGATGATGGTGAAAATTAGAAGAAAGAGACTAAAAAGAAAAAAGAAAGAACCAAACCTCTACCTGGGAAAAAAGCTACTATTTTCTGTTTCTTAAGGAGCAATAGTTTTTAAATGGCAATGTCACCAAATATACGTGCGTTCTAAATACTGGCAGAGTATGTTGTACATTTATAGGTAAGTGCTAATGAGCTGAGCCTAGACGAGCAATAAGAATACTGTGCATCTCTCCAAGAGTCTGAAGTAAAACTTCAGTCACTTTCTAGTGAAAACTTCATGACAAAGATACCATACGAATCAAATGAGAAATATGAAAATATGGATTTCAGAAAACATGAAAAGGAGAAAAGAAATAGGACTCAACAGATCTACTTACTAGTTTTGTTTTCTTCCTTTGTAGATTAGGGATTCAATAAAAGTCCTTTTTGGGTCTATGAGTCTAAATCTGTGATTCAGGTAAGAGGAGGATGAGGACTGAAAACCTACTTAGCAGGTACTATGCTTACTATCTGAGTGAAAAAATAATCTGTACACGAAACCCCACAACATGCAATTTACCTGTATAACAAACCAACACATGTACCCTTGAGCCTAAATTAAAAGTTAAAATAAAAAAACAAATCAATAATTCTAAAATAAATGAGATTATAGTCATCATTCATTAGTTAATTCGTTTAATAAATACTTATTGAGTGCCTGTAGTATACAGGAGCATAACTCATGCAGTGAGTACTACACGAGAGGATACGTCACAGGAGAATACCTCACCCACGCTGGTAGTTCAGCAAAAGCTTTCTGGTCAACATGACATTGAGCTAGGTCTTAAAGAAAATGCAGTTGAAAGGAGGAAGAACATTCCAGGAAAAGGGAAGAACGTATACAAAGGTACAAAGGCCTGAGAACAGCCAGCATGCTCTGGGAACATGTACAAACAACGTACAAACAACGTGGCTGATATGGATGTTTGTGAAGGACAGAGCACAATCTGTTATGAGTACCCAGTATATTTTCTAGTACCTAGTGTAGGGTGTCATGCTGAGGAATTTGGATGTTGTCCCACAAGCAACAGGGAGTAGAGATTTTTAAATGAACAAGTGACATAATCACATTTGCATTTTAGAAATATTTGGGAATATAGAAAAGAAGTTAAGAGGACAGTTGTAGATGCAGGAAGATCATTTGGGCAAAAAAATGATAAGCGCCTTCGTGCCTCTACACTTGTCTTCTTATTTCTTTTCCATTTTCCCAAATCTTTCTAAAATAGGTTGGTTACCTAGGGGAGACCATCCTTTTGAAGGCACTTAGCTGTGAAGGGAAGGAGAGAGGACAGTAGCTAGAGAAGACATGAGAGAGTTTTCTTTCTTTGTTTTAGGATGAAAATGTCAAAATAAGTCTGTTTGATGAGAAGGAAGAACTAATGGAATGTAAAAGGCTGAAGGGATGTAAAAGAAAGGAGATAATTAATGAAACGAGTTTTACAAAAATATTCCTAATTAGAGTCCTTTAAATGGGATACTCCTCATGGGCCTATAAATTCTTATATAATTTTACAAAAGAAATAGATTCCCTCTAAGCAGCACTTCAACTGTAGAAATCAAGAAATACTTGTGGTGTTGCTCTATCATCTAGAGAATATTCTTATAGCCATTAAAATGTCCTTATTTAATTGTAAAATGAGACTATGCCCATGCATTTTGTTTCTCTTCTCTCCTTCTCTCCCTCTTCTCTTCCATTCCTTCTTCTAAGCCATGACTTTTATTCAGGGCTCCAAATGGAAGGGGATGCATCTATTTCAAGCCTTTGTTCAGTCTAACCCAGGTGCTTTTTAGTTTTCAATTTACATGCAGAAATTGAAACATAGAGAAGAAATCTCACCAAAACCATTCATGCAGTCCGGTGAGATGGCTGCCTCGGGAACTGAGGGAAACAATGGGATACTGGAAAGCAAGGCCTGAAACTCCTCTTTGTTATAGGAAGGCCATACTGCTAATCAAAAGAAAATTAGGAAAAACCAGGAACAGAAAAAGAAAGAAGAGGAAGAAATCTAATAAAATGCATTCAGGTTTGTAGCACTGTGTTCAAATTCAAATTCTCCTGTTTCTAAGCAGCCCATCACATTGTCCATCTTTCTATCTGAATGAATATATCTGGCCTTTGAGTCTTGGAATAGAGGAGCGGAAACTCTAGAAAAAAATATTTCTTTTACACCTTTCTGTTTATCTCACTTATCTTTATGTTAAGTAACAAAGTAGTTCATTTTAAAAATTAGAACATTCAATAGCTTAAAAGCTGAATTGTTAGTTTTTAAAAATAAAAATGACATACAGATTTTATTAAAAGCTCTAACAGAACTGAGGGTATTAAGCAAAAGGTAAAATTCCCTGCAGCCTGCTATTGGCCTAGGACCCTTCCCCAGAGGTAATCATTGACAGTAGTTAATTGGGTATCTTGCCAGAAATTCCCTGAGCATGTGTGAGCAAAAATACGATTACATTTCATTTGAAAGGAAGACGATGGCAGTTATGATCACTTGGTCCTTATGCTGCCACAGTCCTGGGCTTTTGTTTCTAAATCTTGTGAGTAAGTAGGTCTTTTTTTTTCTTCTTTTCCAATTGAATTAACTAATATGGGCATGCCAACTGCACATTACAGTCTTATTTGGTAGGGATAAAGTCCAAAGTAGGTGTTAGAAGTGCTCAGAGGGAACTTCAGCCCTCTGATCCTCCTCTTTCTCCTCCAAGAGGGAAAAGCAGCTTTGCAAAGTGCAGCCCCTGCCGAGGTCCATCTCCGACTGCCTCCAGGCTTCTCTCGAAGCTCTCTGTCCTTTTCCCGGCTGGAGCCCTTCCTTCTTGGATGGGGAAGGCATCCTGCTGCTGCGGGCTGAGACTTAATGAGTATCCAGTTAAATAGAAAGCCGAGATCCTCTTTTCTGAAGACAAGAGACGATAGACGAGGTAGAAAACCATGAACTGGAAAGTAAACGAGGAGGAATCAGAGATTGACTTAAAATAATAAGAATCTTTTTAAAAATTTTCGCAATGATCTGCTGTTTCCCCACGTATCAGTTTTCACAGATCCGCTGTCTGAGAGAGTTCTCTTTCATCATATTACATAGCCACAACACTGCTTGAAATGTGCAAACCTATGCCTTTGCTTGCTTCTGTTGACAAAAGCTAACCGTCCTATCTGTTTCAGCTTCAGCCTTTCCAGTCCTCGGTGACCTGAACAAGTAAATGAGCAAAAAGGGAACACAGACTCCTACTTTTTGGCATCGACCCAATTTTCCAATCTTCAAAATTCTCAGCCAGTTTCCCTCTCCTCATCACTGCATTGTGCTACTTGAAAGACATAGTGAAAATAGCTATGGGAACACAAAGAAAGAAAGAACACACACCATGGGGTTAGCGAAGAGGAAACCCTCTTAATAGATTTCGAAAGAATAAATCCTGGAGCAATGCTGAGTCTTAAAAGATTTACCAGAAGTGTAGGCAGAACTCCAAGACTAGGAGGCTGGAAAAAATTAAGATATTGGGCATTGTAAGATAGAAGATAAGGAGAGGAGAAATCCCAAATGAATTAATAATCAAATTCATGTACGGCTTCTCGTTAACAAGAATCCCAAGAGTAAACCTGGTTACTCTGCTAGTTGTCGTAAATATGATGTAGTCATCTGTAAAACCTTATTTCTGAAGTAATTTCATTTACTCTGGGCTTTTCTGGTAGCCAAATCCTGCACAAAGTAAGGACTTTCTCATAATTTTTAAAAATCAAATATTTTCCATAGTAGTATTGCCTGGCCTGTCTTACATTCTGGCAATACTTTCCCAGAAATATTGAAATCTATAGATTGATTGAACCACAGCAGTGTCCTCAGTAACTTTTCTCTGAGTTATGAACTCATAGGGGTATATGCATTGCAAAAAACAAAAACAAACAAACAAATAGAAATTGAACTATAAGAATAATTAGCCTAAAGATGCCTCAGGAAAAATAGGTGGGGCTGGGTGCTGTGTCTTACACCTGTAATCCCAGCACCTTGGGAGGCCGAGGCAGCGGTTCACTTGAGGTCAGGAGTTTGAGACCAGCCTGGCCAACATGGTGAAATGCCATCTCTACTAAAAAATACTAAAACTAGCATTGCGGCTCACACCTGTAATCCCAGCTGCTCAGAGGGGTGAGGCATGAGGATTGCTTAACCTGGGAGGCAGAGGTTGCAGTGAGCAAAGATCATGCCACTGCACTCCAACCTAGCTGACAGAGCAAGACTTCACTGCAAAACAACAACAACAAAATAGGTATATATTTTTTCTTTATTCCAGTGTGGGCTCTGGCAACATATGAAGGCATTTAATATATAATCCGGATTTATTGGCTTTTTCTTTAAAGGTCGCAGAGATAGATTCATTGTATAGATGAGTATGACTAATACACACATTTCAATAAACTTCAAGTTGTATTGAAATGTTAATAGCTTGGCTGCAAACTAGAAGCACTCATCAAACATTTAGGGTTTGCTGGCTTTTTTGGTGTTTGGAACTCTGGGGGCAATACAGAAGATATAACAGTTTGGCTTTTCTTCTTTGAACTAACGGCGCATAGATTTGTCTAGAATAGAGAAGCAGAGAGCCTGTCTGCAGAGTCCCTGTCAGAAATGCTGAGAGATAAAAGAGCACAGACAGAGGCATTCAGGGACAGGCATCAGAGCAGAGGTGTCGTGGGACGGGGAACGTGCACTGGCTCCAGTGTCATGAGATGGAGACTGGCAACCTCTACAGTGGCTTATCCAACAAATCCCTCATTTTGTTCAGACATTCGTCAGAGAACTTTTGATATCAAGAAAGATGGTTCTGACCTCTAGTCCACGTAGAAACGCACACATGATCCCGTTCTTTCATTCTTTCTCATGAGACTTAAGAGGAAGTTGGCTGAGAAATTCTGCTTCTGGTAAAAAGCTAGAGGTGTATAAAGGAGAAGGTCTCTTTTTGCCCAGCTGTCCTTGGGCCAACCCTCTGCCACTTCTGGCCTTTTCATGCTGAGAAGCTTGTGGCTGTGGCAGCCATATTGCAACCATGAAGGGATGAGTCCTTAGATGAACAGCCAACATGCTAGGTGGGAAGGCAGAAGCATAAAAGGATCCTGGGTCTTTGATGGCCCCACTGAGAAGACTAACCAATGCCAGGAACTGCCTACATCTAGTCTTCTTGTTATATGAGAACCATAAGTCCCATTTATTTTATAACATGGCCAGTCTCTCATTGTTGGCTTTCACAGTTGTTTTCCAATATTACACTATCATACATGATACTGAGACAAAAAAATACAGCTGTTTTTGCACACATCCATGATTGTTTCCTCAAATGTGTTCTTAAGAATGAAATTGCTGAGTCAAAATGGTTAATACAAAGCTAAGTTTCCAAAAATGTTATATAAATTTACAATTTCTTCATAGTAGTTTGGGGAGAGGACATCCCTCCCCAACTTTGAAAATATCCAGTATTTTGCCAATTTGATAGATGTTTTAAAAAAGATTGTCCAGGCACGGTGGCTCATACCTGCAATTCCAGCACTTTGAGAGGCCGAAGTGGGCAGATCACGAGGTTAAGAGACCGACACCATCCTGGCCAACGTGGTGAAACCCTGTCTCTACTAAAAATATAAAATTTAGCCCCATGTGGTGGCAGGTACCTGTAGTCCCAGCTACTCAGGAGGCTGAGGCAGGAGAATCACTTGAACTTGGGAGGCAGAGGTTGCAGTGAGCAGAGATCGTGACACTGCACTCCAGCCTGGGTGACAAAACGAGACTCCATATCAATAAAATAATAAAATAGATTTCCATTTTCTACTTTAATTTGCTTTTCCATGTGGTGAAGTGCTTTTTCATTTGTTTGTGGACTATTGTGTTTTGGTCTAAAGCCATGCCTATTGCAGCACTCCTTCAGAACTAAACCTCTTGAAAAGGTCATGTACTCTCTGTGTCCACTTCCTCACCATTCCTTGATGTCTTAGCCCACTCCCCCACCAATTACCAATGACTTCCACGTCACGAAATCCCGCGATCATTTTTCTAATCTCATTTCCCTGGATTTTGGGTAATATTTGACAACATCTACCATTTCCTCTTAAAAACACTCTCCTCATGTCTTCTCAGATACCACATCTGACTGGTTTTCTCTTTGCCTCTCTATCTGTTCTCTCTTAGTCTTCTCCTCTACCTGACCTCTCATGACCCAGTCCTAGGTCCTCTTTCTAAATGAGCTCATTTGTTTCCCATGGCTTTAGTTACGACAGATATTAATTATGTTATTTATAACTCCAACCCAAATTTCCCCCCGCTACACAGGCTCCAGACTCATACATTCAACTGACAATAATATCTCTTCTTGAATGTATCTCAGGAACCTCAAATTTAACGTGTTCTAACACAAACATCAGCTCTCTCTGCTTTTCTCCCAGACCTCCCTGTCACAGAAAATGTCATCACCATTTTCAGAGCTGCTTAGGTCAGAAACCTGAAGGTCATTCTTGGTTGCTCCCTCACACCTTCCTTTCCCACTCACAAACAAGTCCTATTGTTTCTCTTTCCAACATATATCTTTTTTTAAACTCTCACTTTCAGTTCAGGGGTAGACCTGCAGGTTTGTTACATAGGTAAACTGTGTCACAGGGGTCTGTTGTACAGATGGTGACATCATCCAGATATTAAGCCTAGTACCCATTAGTTATTTTCCTGATCCTCTCCTTCTGACCCCACACCCTCTGGTAGGCCCCAGTGTGTGTTGCTTTCCTCTGTGTGTCCATGTGCTCTCATCATTCAGCTCTCCCTTATAAGTGGGAACATGCAGTATTTGGTTTTCTGTTCTTGCATTAGTTTGCTAAGGATTATAGCCTCTAGTTCCATCCACTAGATGGATCATTGCAAAGAACATGATCTCATCCTCTTTCATGTCTGTATAGTATTGTATGGTGTATATGTACCACATTTTCTTTATTTAGTCTACCATTGATGGACATTTAGATTGATTCCATGTCTTTGCTATTGTGAATAGTGTCAAAGTGAACATAAATGTTCAGGTGCCTTTATGATAGAATAATTTAAATTCTTTTGGGTACATACTCAATAATGGGATTGCTGGGTCAAATGGTAGTTCTGTTTTTAGATCTTTGAAGAATCATCACACTGTTTTCCACAATGGTTGAACTAATTTACACTCCCACCAACAGTGTATAAGCATTCCTTTTTCTCCACAACCTCGCCAATCTGTTATTTTTTGATTTTCTAGTAATAGCCATTCTGACTGGTGTGAGATGGTATCTCATTGCAATTTTAATTTGCGTTTCTCTAATGATCAATGACGTTGAGGTTTTTTTTTCATATGCTTGTTGACTGCATGTATGTCTTCTTTTGAAAAGTGTTTGTTCATGTCCTTTGCCCACTTTTTAATGGGGTTGTTTTTTGTTTTGTAAATCTGTTTGAGTTCCTTATCAATGCTAAATATTAAATCTTTGTCAGGCACATAGATTACAAAAATTTTCTCCCATTCTGTAGGTTGTTTACTCTGTTGACAGTTTCTTTTGCTGTGCAGAAGCTCTTTAAATAGATCCCATTTGTCAGATTTTGCTTTTGTTGCAATTGCTTTTGGCATCTTCATCTTGAATGCCCATTCCTATGTCCAGAATGGTATTGCCTAGGTTGTCTCCCAGCGTTTTTATGGTTTAAGGTTTCACATTCAAAATGTATCTTGACCCATCTGCTCCTCTCCCTCTACAAAGCTCAGTCACAGTCAACACCACCTAGACTAGTCTAGAACCCAGCACAATCTCTCATCTGACCACCCTGTTCATACTTACATCCTTCCAATCTGTTATTCATGCAGCATTAACAGAACATTTTTTTAAATGTAAAATTTGATAAGGTTATTTTTCTGCTTAAAGCCCTTCATTGGATTTCCATAATTTTTAAAGTTTCAAA